GACTCTGTCTCAAAAAAAAAAAAACAAAAAAAAAACAGCTGGGTGCGGTAGCTCACGCCTGTAATCCCAGCACTTTGGGAGGCTGAGGCAGGCAGATCACCTGAGGTCAGGAGTTCAAGACCAGCCTGACCAATACAGAGAAACCCCATCTCTACTAAAAATACAAAAAACAAAAATAAAAGAATTCCTGATTTGGCTGAACCGGTGGCTCACACCAGCAATCCCAGCACTTTGGGAGGCCGAGGTGGGTATATCACCTGAGGTCAGGAGTTTGAGACCAGCCTGACCAACATGGAGAAACCTCGTCTCTACTAAAAATGGAAAATTAGCCAGGCATGGTGGCATGCTCCAGTAATCCCAGCTACTTGGGAGGCTGAGACAGGAGAATCGCTTGAACCCAGGAGGTGGAGGTTGCAGTTAATCAAGGTCGCACCATTGCACTCCAGCCTGGGCGACAGGGCAAGACTCCATCTCAAAAAAAACAAAATAGCCAGGTGTGGTGGCAGACACCTGTAATCCCAGCTAACAGGTAGGCTGAGGTAGGAGAATCGCTTGAACCCACGAGACAAAGGTTGCAGTAAGCCAAAATCATGCCACTACACTCTAGTCTAGGCAAAAGAGAAAACACTGTCTCAAAAAAAAAAAAAAAGATGATCCTGAATCATATTTTGTGGTTATTACAAGCATTTAAAAAATATTGTTAGGTATCTGATAAATACAAGAAACTATATATAGGCCAAACGTGGTGGCTCATGCCTGTAATTCTACCACATTGGAGGCCATACAAAAGTGTGACTTGAGGCTAGGCGTTCGAGATCACCCTAGTCAACATTCCAAGCCCCCACCTCTATTAAAATAAAAAGTAATATAAAATAGAGTATATACATATACATTCACAAATATATATACACAATACACAAGTATCACATGCATGTTATGAAAAAATACCATAAACCCACTACCCATTAAAAATTGAGAGAGAATATTAAACATTTTACAAACTGACATGACATTCTCCTACAGGGGCTATGCCAATAGTGACAAAAGACCATCAGACCATTTTTCCTAAGACCACTACACCATCTCACTGAATCCTGTCATCTATCCTATTAGAACATCTTTTTAAATTTCTTGTCCTTTTAAAAGTACACTAGATATTTTTAATTTCCAACACTAAATTAATGGGCAGTCTGTCAAATGCCTACTGGGTTTTATACCAGAAGGGTTTTCTAGATGTATGTATACGCAGAAATGACATAAAAACGTTTTTTTGGTGGGGGGATGGAGTCTCACTCTGTCGCCCAGGCTAGAATGTAGCAGCAGTTCAATCTTGGCTAACTGCAACCTCCGCCTCCTGGGTTCAAGTGATTCTCCTGCCTCAGCCTCCTGAGTAGCTGGGATTACAGGCGACCATCACCACACTCAGCTAATTTTTGTATGTTTAGTAGAGACCATTTTTCACCATGTTGGCCAGGCTGGTCTCAAACTCCTGACCTCAGGTGATCCGCCTGCCTCAGCCTCCCAAAGTGCTGGGATTACAGGCATGAGCTATCTCCCCAGGCTGACACTAAAACCTTTTTACATAAATGCACTGTAAAAATATGACCCAAAACAAGGTAAGGAATATAAATGATTTTTGCCTTCTTTTCTTTTCTCTTTTTTTGAGACGGAGTTTCGCTCTTGTTACCCAGGCTGGAGTGCAATGGCGCGATCTCAGCTCACCACAACCTCTGCCTCCTGGGTTCAGGCAATTCTCCAGCCTCAGCCTCCTGAGTAGCTGGGATTACAGGCACACGCCACCATGCCCAGCTAATTTTCTGTATTTTTAGTAGAGGCGGGGTTTCACCATGTTGACCATGATGGTCTCGATCTCTTGACCTCATGATCCACCCGCCTCGGCCTCCCAAAGTGCTGGGATTACAGGCTTGAGCCACCGCGCCCGGCCTTCTTTTCAAATCAATAGTTCCTTTATACAAAAACACCAGATGATACAAAACACATTTTTTTCAAGTATAAAGTTGCATATAGAGTGTAAACACTTCATGCTCACTCAAGGAATAAGTACTGGAACAACTCTTTGCAATTGGGTAACAAAATTTCAACTTCTAGGAATATGTTTCCCTCTTCCTTGTCCTTTTGAGAGCCACCACCATGTAACAACTCAGATTCAATTGAATTAGCATCTCCCCTGGTGCAGTGGCTCAAGCCTGTAATCCCAGCACTTTGGGAGGCCGAAGCGGGTGGATCAGGAGGTCAAGAGATCGAGACCATCCTGGTCAACATGGTGAAACTCCGCCTCTATTAAAAATGCAAAAAATTAGCTAGCCTTGGCGGCACGTGCCTGTAATCCCAGCTACTCAGGAGGCTGAGGCAGGAGAATTGCCTGAACCCAGGAGGCGGAGGTTGCGGTGAGCCGAGATCACACCATTGCACTCCAGCCTGGGTAACAAGAGGAAAACTCCATCTCAAAAAAAAAAGAATTAGCATCTCTTCAGGGACGGAGGCCATATATTATTCCTTTCTGGGTCTCCTGCATAGGATTAACTCAGCGTTTGTTATAACTAAGCTAAACTCCAAGACAGAAGCTTCAAACCACTTCAGGCCCAGTTCAAAACTGAAAAAAAGATGAACCCATTTCTCAGAGTTTAGGAACAAAAAGATACTGACAAAGAAACAAAGCCATAGATACTTGTGCAACATGATATTCCACTATCACCAAATTCAGAGTAGCTTACTAACACTGCAGAAACAAGTTTGCAGACAATAAAAAGAATAAATGAAAACATATGGATGCTAAAGTTCTCCTGTCAACATGTTCAATTATCATAGACTCCTTCACCTTAAACTCATACTAACATCCTCACCCCCGAACAATGAAAACGAAAGGCTTTCGAATGAGACCTAAATACAGATTGGCTGTATTTCATCACAGTTTAAGTCCCTAAAATCATATACATAAATCACATGATCATGCTTATGCTCATCTTCTAACTTGAGGGTCCAGTGTCTTTCATCAATCAGATTCTCAGAAGCGTTAAGTGACTCCGCAAAAAACTTTAGGAACCACTAATCTAGCCTATCAAGAAATACCCCATTTTCCAGAAGAATACAGTTAGGTTGGCTTAGTTCATGCATTCTTCCCTCATATTCATAGATGGAATTGTTACTATGTATCAGTCTTTCAATTCCTTCAGCCCAGCCAAAAAGTTTCAACATCCACAGGCACACCTATCAACAATTCCCAGATCCCCAAAAGAGTTTTCTGATTTTAATTCCACATTGCTTCACTCAACTTAATACTCACCACTGTCAAAACAGCTCCCCTCACATTTGCACCCAGGCTACATACAGAGACACCTTGATTATCCTCATCACCTCAAAGCATGGACCATTTATTGAATAGGCAGTCAACAAATATTTGTTGAATGAATGAAAAAGGATCCTTCCTCCCACAGATTTCAAGTTAAGCTCTCAGCACCCATGCAGCTGCTCTCCTACAAGTTAAGGTGTGAAAGCCTTCTCTCCCTCAAACATACAAGCTCAAGTGTCAGAAATCCTCTGCTTTCTCCATAAACACAAAATGAAATAGCCGTGGATATGCATTTCACACAGGTCAGACTGGGCAAGGAAGTCTACGTTTCACATCCATATCTGACACAATCGGTCTCCTTCAAATACAATCTAACCAGTCATATGTGTTCCTATCTTTCCAATACTCAGATTTGCAGTAGAAGTCAAAATATAGCAGTTACAGTCCCAACTCTGTCACCAATTTAACATGTGGCCTTGGAGAAGTCCTTTCCTAATGCCTAAATTTCCTATTTTGTAAAATGGAAGAAAGCATCTATCCTACCATCTTCACAGAGATTTAGTCATACAAAATAACTGAAAGAGCTTTCTAACTGTACTATAACCTATTACTGTAAACTATTACTGTAAACCCGGGACAACAAATAAGGCCACCGATTCTTTACAGCTTTGTAGCAATTATTCTATTAAAGATATTTTGGGCCTTCACATTTACACGATTCACTCAAACCAAAGACACAAACTATTCTTAAGCCCACAACTGGCTATGGCAAGTTTCTCCCCTCCCTCACCCCACAGACACATGCTGTATAGATGCCATTACCGCTCTTTCCCAACAAGTAACTAAGGGCTCCCAATCCCTAAAATACACACACATATCAACCTGCAAGGAATCTCCCAACATTTATTCAAGAAATAAGCTCACTTATAGGGGAACGCCATTACACTTACACAAATAAAGGCAAACTCTTCCGGAAACACTTTCCATCCTCGCACACACACTCAAACACAGCCGCTACACACCAACAGACCATCTGTCTTCTAGATCAAAAACATCTCTTTCCATGTACAAACTAACCAGCGACATTTATTAAGCTCGCAACACTGAGATCATCCCGTCGTTCCTACGTACCGTTCAACGCGGCAGGGACACCACAGACCTTGTCGTACAGGTCAACTCCCCTCTCAAGATCGTGTCCTCCAACACGCTTATCCTTTAATCAAACACACACAAACTGGACTATGGGGGAGGCTCCGATCATGCCTACAAACACAAACTAACCCGTCAGGGGCACAGCGACTCCGCCTCCACTCGCTTACTTTCCAGCCCCCTCCCCGGAGCCGCGAGTCCGCCCGTCAGGGACACCCCTTCACCCCGCCTGGAGGGACTTCCCGGTAGGCTCAGGAACCCCCTCCCTGCTCTCCCTTCCCCCATCTTCACCACTGCTCTCCCGGAGGTCCAGGTCCGGGAGATGACAGTGGCTCCCAGGAAGCCCAGGATTCCATCGCTGAGAGAGTGCTTAGGCCCCGAGGCCTGCCCAAACCGTTCTACTCACCGTGTCGGAGGCCCAGGCCGAGAGCGATGAGAGTGCAGGGAAGTGGGGAAGGGGGGTGGCCGCCAGGCTCCTGGGTTCACGGCGGATTCCTCCCGCTTGTCAGGAGGCGGCCGGAGGGTGAGCGGACTGGCGGAAATGCGAGAGAGGAGAAGGGAAAGGTGGAGGGCTAAGGGGGGCAAACTGAGGGGAGGCGGGTCCCGCAGCCGAGACTGGGATCGTCTCCCCCTCCGCAAAGCGAACCCAAAATGGCGGCGGGAGCGGCGGCGGCGGCGGCGGCAGCAGAGCGGCGGCAGCGGCGGCGGCAGCTCCTCCGGAGGGAGGGAGCGAAGGGCGCCTCGCGCCCCCCCACCTCCCACTCCTCCCTCCTTGCGTTCTTCCCCACCGGCCCCCACTCCGCCCGACTCTGGCCGCGCAGCGCGCACGCCTGCCCGCACGCGTACGGGTGTCTCCCGGCTCGTCGCTGGCTGCTCCCACCAAGCACCACCTTCGGCCGCCCCGCGCGCCAGCCAGCCCGTACGCGCCCACCCAGGGACACCTCCTCGCGCGGCCCCCAGCTCCCCCTCAGGCCCTGTCAAGCCGGCTCCGGCGCAGGCCCTCACGCGTACCTTCAGCGGCGCGAGCCCAAGCCTCCTCCTCCTCCTCCACCTCCTCTTCTCTCCTCCCCCCCTTCCCCGCCCCCACGGCCACCAACCGCCGCCACTGCTGCCGCCGCCGCCGCCGCCAGGCCCCCCCACCGTCCACCCCTCGCGCGTGAGCCTCCCACAATCCCCCCCGCGAGACTGTTCCATTCCTGTCAGCTGCAGGGGCAGGAGAGGGAGGGACAGGCAGAGCGGCTCGGGCCTGCAGTTTGACTGGAATTGCCAGGGTGGCGGGCCGAGCCCCAAGACAACCTACCTCCCTTGACTCGCCGCCGCGGCGGTACGGGTCGCCTCCCGCTCCTCCCCTCGGGACCGCGGCTAGCCGGTCAAGGGCTGCCTAGCGCCCCTCTGCCGGCCGGCGGTTGGAGGCCGCGGCGGCTGCGCGTTGAGTCGTTTCCTGCCGGACGACTCAAGCCTTCCTCGCAGTCGCAGGACTGGCGCCTCGGAGCCGGCCCCAGGCGGTGTGTGCCGGTCGCCCTGTCAGGAGAACTAGTCCCCGACTCACGGTGAGGGAATGGACCGGCGCGGGGTTGTACCGCTGTGAGAAAGGAGCGGGACTCCGAACTTCCCGGAGGTAGGGAGTGAGGTCAGCAGGACGGGTGCGCCTCCCTGGGGGATTCCTCCCGGGCGCTGAGCTGCCAGCATGGGACCGGAGGAAGATCGGCGTAGTGGTCCGCTTTTTGTTGTTGTTAACTCGGCTCAGATTTGTCGATTTTCACACCCCTGCCCCTGTGCGATGATGTTTGCCTTTGACGCTCCTCGTGGATGGTACTTCTTCAGCCTCGTTAGACGGCCTGATGATGGACGATGAAGAAACCATGTGCTTTTCATTCAGTTCTGGACTCAGTTTCCCTCGTCATCCTTCACCAAGTTATTTTTCTTAGTTCCTTATCAAAAAGTATACATACAAATTAGGCAACTCCAAACACGCCTCCAGGGTTGGTGTGTGAAATAAGAAGATAATATATGTAAAGTGGAATTAGCTCCTAGGCATGGGCAAAGTGCAGAGAATTGCGGTGTTGTCATTTACAGTTCTGTTGATGTCGATAAGGTGTGTGGTTGTAACTGGTAGTTTGTGTTCTCTCTCTCCAAGTTGTTAATAAAACAAAGCAAAAACAGGCCTGTCAGGTTTCTGTGGCTACTGAATATGTTTCTCAAAACACTTGACTGATATTTGATAACTGAATGCAGCAGAAATACGGAGTATTAAAATCCACAGATAATTCCAAAGTTAATTTGATCTAGTAGTTTTTACCTTTACCCAAAGGATCTACTTGGGTAAAGTAGAGTAAATTGTGGGAAGGATCTGCTTGGGTTTCCCTTTCCTTCACATTTGTGGACTCCCAGAGATCAAGGAAATAATTCAGAAATTCACTGTTCTAGATTGCTGTCAAAAGCATGCCAGGCCAGATGAGGTGGCTCACACCTGCAATCCCAGCACTTTGGGAGGCCAAGGAGGGCAGATCAGCTGAGGTCAGGAGTTTGAGACCAGCCTGGCCAACATGGTGAAACATGAACTCTACTAAAAATACAAAAATTAGTCAGGTGTGGTGGCGGGCCCTGTAATCTCAGCTACTCAGGAGGCTGAGGCAGGAGAATCACTTGAACACGGAAGGCGGAGGTTGCAGTGAGCTGAGATCACAGCATTGCACTCCAGCCTCCTGAGTAGCTGGGATTACAGGGCCCGCCACCAGGCCTGACTAATTTTGTATTTTTAGTAGAAACGATGTTTCATCATATTGGCCAGACTGGTCTTAAACTCTGAACCTGTGATCTGCCCACCTCTGCCTCCCAAAGTGCTGGGATTATAAGCTTGAACCTATGTGTTTTGTTTCTTTAAGGTAAACAGGAAAGCAGCCTTCATTATCTCATTGTCTATTTTCCTAACCAAGTCCACACACTTTCATGGAGCCTATTTGGGTTGACTGATCTTTCTTTAGTTGCTTCATGCATGCAAATGTATTACACTAGCAACAACTTTTTTTTGAGAGCAAGGGACTGTCTACTATTTCATTTACATAAAGCATCATAGGCAAGTGCAAAGCAAATCACAGAAATACTGAAATAAGGCTGGGCACGGTGGCTCACGCCTGTAATCTGAGCAAATTGGGCCATTGCACTCCAGCCTGGATGACGAGCAAAACTCTGTCTCAAAAAAAAAAAAAAAAGAAATATTGAAATGAATGTTAGATGCTTAAAATACCAGAAGAGAAAGAGAATTAGCATATGTGGACTACTGTGCCAGGAGAATGTGTATTCCTGTTTAATCCTTATAATGGGCCCGGCACGGTGGCTCAAGCCTGTAATCCCAGCACTTTGGGAGGCCGAGGCGGGTGGATCACGAGGTCAAGAGATCGAGACCATCCTGGTCAACATGGTGAAACCCCGTCTCTACTAAAAATACAAAAAATTAGCCAGGTGTGGTGGCAGGCGCCTGGAATCCCAGCTACTTGGGAAGCTGAGGCAGGAGAATGGCTTGAACCCAGAAGGCGGAGGTTGCAGTGAGCTGAGATCACGCCATTGCACTCCAGCCTGGGTAACAAGAGCAAAACCCCATCTCAAAAAAAAAAAAATCCTTATAATGAGCAACACTTTGAGATAGATCATCTTACCCTCATTTTACCGAAGAGAAGCCTGAGGCCCAGAGAAGTCCAGTAACGATATTTAGACTCTAGTTTGCCTGTGTCTTAAAAACCTAATTTTTTTCACTATACCACATTGTCTTCACAATACAATTTCTCATCAGCACCATAATTGCTGTGCTTCAAAGAAAAAAAATACCTTTAATGGAATTTCACTACACCAGTGTATAGGGAGAGTTACTTACAGTCTCTGTGTTCAAGTAACTTTCAGTAACTACACTGATTAATTTGTCAGCTACCTATAAGCAAATGAGACAGGATTCTGTTCTTTTGTGTATGCCAAAGAGCCTACCAGAGACTCAAATATATTAAGTGCGCAATAAAATGACCTCACTGGCTGGGCACGGTGGTGCGTGCCTATAGTCCCAGCTATTCAGGAGGCTGAGGCCGGAGGATCTCTTGAGTCTAGGAGTTCTGGGCTGTGCACTATGCCGATTGGGTGTCTGCATTAAGTTTGGCATCCATATGGTGACCTCCTGGAAGCGAGGGACCACCAGTTTGCCTAAGGAGGGGTGAACCGGCCCAGGTCGGAAATGGAGCAGGTCAAAACTCCCGTGCTGATGAGTAGTGGGATCTCGCCTGTGAATAGCCACTGCACTCCAGCCTGGGCAACATAGCGAGACCCTGTCTCTTAAAAAAAAAAAAAAAAGACCTCACTGAATGAACAAACCCTGAATTGTTTGAACCAACAAAGATAGAATAATGGTTTCTCCAAGGATATCCACTTCTTAATCCCTGAAACCTGTAAATATGATATGTTACATGACAAGAGAAAACTCAGGATGCAGAGGGAATTAAGGTTGCTATCAGCTGACATTAAACTAGGGAGATTATCCAGGAGTGAGCTCTCCGCAATGGCCCTCTTCAGTTGTACTTATGTAGCTGCCCATGCTTGTGTTCCTTTTCAGAAAGGCGGTAGCTGAAAAGCACTTAAGCTGCCAGCACCACAGAAATCCTGTCGAATCCCCCTTTCTTCACACTGGAGTACTTGCCATAATACCTATAGAGCCTCTTTGAAGGTTCCCACAGTGCCTTTTTGTGTAAGATCACACATTAATATCCAGTTTGGCAGTTCTGCTAGTTTGACATCCAGGAGTTTCTTCTTCACTGATACAGCTGACTCCATCTTGAGTCCTGGTCTGATATAAACTTTTTCCTCTAACATGGATCATAGGAAACAATATATAAACTTTTAAAATCAGGTTTCAGGCTGGGTGCCATGGCTCACTCACGCCTATAATCCCAACACTTAGGGCAACTGAGGCAGGAGGCTTAATTGAGGCTAGGAGTTCAAGACCAGCCTGGTCAACATAGCAAGGCCCCATGTCTACAAAAAATAAGAAAAATTAGCTGGGCCATGGTGGGCTGTCTAGGCGTTTGAGGCTACCGTGGCCAATGATCACACCATTGCATTCCAACCTTGGCGAGAGAGTGAGACCCTGTCTCTAAAATTCACTGAAGTATGGTCCAGGTTTGACTTTACATTTGATGAGTTATGGTAAATGCTATGTAATCATAAGAGTTTTTTTCTTTGCAGAGTCTTGCATGCTCTGTCACCCAGGTTGCAGTGCAGCAGAGTGATCTCAGCTCACTGCAACCTCAGCCTCCTGGGTTCAAATAATTCTCTCACCTCAGCCTCCCAAGTAGCTGGGACTACAGGCATGCTTCACCACGGCCATCTAATTTGGCTAATTTTTGTATTTTTAGGAGAGATGGGGTTTTGTCACGTTGGCCAGGCTGGTCTTGAGCTCCTGGCCTCAAGTGATCTGCCCATCTCAGCCTCCCAAAGGGCTGGGGTTACAGGTATGAGCCACTCTTTTTAAAAGAGTCTTTTAAAAAATTGGCTGGGCACATAAGCTCACGCCTGTAATCCCAGCACTTTGGGAGGCTGAGGCAGGTGGATCACCTGAGGTCAGGAGTTCAAGACCAATCTGGCCAACATGGTGAAATCCCTTCTCAACTAAAAATACAAAAAAAAATTAGCTGGGCGTGGTAGCAGTCCCCTGTATTCCCAACTACTTCAGGAGACAGAGGCAGGAGAATCCCTTAAACCTGAGTGGCAGAGAGGTTGCAGTGAGCCAAGATCGCACCATTGTGCTCCAGCCTGGGCGACATGAGCAAAACTGTCTTTAAAAAAAAATTATTTCATTCGCTTTTTTAATTTTAATTTTAATTTTAATTTTTTTAGACAGAGTCTCACACTATCACCCAGGCTGGAGTGCAGTGGTGCGATCTGGGCTCACAGCAACATGTTTGCCACCCGAGTTCAAGCAATTCTCCTGCCTCAGCCTCCTGAGTAGCTGGGAATACAGGTGCCTGCCACCACACCTGGCTAATTTTTGTAGTTTCAGTAGACACAGGGTTTCACCATCTTGGCCAGGCTGGTCTTGAACTCCTGACCTCATGATCCACCTACCTCAGCCTCCCAAAGTGCTAGGGTTACAGGAATGAGCCACCATGCCCAGCCAAAAAAAAATTTTATTTAAGAGTGAAGAAGGCCAGATGTGGTGGCTCACACTATAATCCCAGCACTTTGGGAGGCTGAGGCAGGTGGATCACCTGAGGTCGAGAGTTCAAGACCAACCTGACCAACATGGAGAAACCGTGTCTCTACTAAAAATATAAAAATTGGCCATGTGTGGTGGCATGTGCCCGTAACCCCAGCTACTCGGAAGGCTGAGGCAGGAGAATCACTTGAACCCAGAAGGCAGAGGTCGCAGCAAGCTGAGATTGTGCCATTGCATTCCAGCCTGGGCAACAAGAGTTTGTCTTGTCTCAGAAAAATAAAAGGGAAGAAATTTGATATTTTTGTTTGGGTACAGGTTAAGTTTTTTTTTTATTTAATCTTATTTATTTTTTTAGAGATGGGTTCTTGCTGTGTTGCCCAGGCTGGAGTGCAGTGGCTATTCACAGGTGCAATCCCACTACTGATCAGCATGGGAGTTTTGACCTGCTCTGCTTCTGACCTGGACCAGTTCACCCCTCCTTAGGCAACGTAGTGGTCTCCCGCTCCCAGGGTCACCATATTGATGCCCAACTTAGTGTGGACACCTGATCTGCATAGTGCACTACAGCCCAGGACTCCTAGACTCAAGCAATCCTCCTACCTCAGCCTCCCAAGTAGCTGAGACTATAGGCACACGCCACCGCGCCCGGCTAATTTTTTGTATTTTTGATAGAGACAGGGTTTCTCCATATTGGTCAGGCTCGTCTTGAACTCCCAACCTCAGGTGATCCACCTACCTTGGCCTCCCAAAATGCTGGGATTACAGGGGTGAGCCACCAGCACCCGGCCTTTGTTTTTGTTTCTTTTTTCTTTTTTTAAAATGGGGTTTCGGGGCCGACTGCGGTGGCTCACGCCTGTAATCCCAGCACTTTGGGAGGCCAAGGTGGGTGGATCACGAGGTCAAGAGATCGAGACCATCCTGGTCAACAAGGTGAAACCCGTCTCTATTAAAAATATAAAAATTAGCTGG